CCGGGGTTGGGCAAGGATGAACATGTGCAGCAGGCTATGCAACTCCCGTCGCCTTTCCATCCTCACGATTGGCCTGAACCTGACGTCTCATTTGTGGTCCAGGCACTGGGTGTCTGGCAGCAGTTTCTCCCAGTTTACAGCCAAAGGCTGCGGCATACTCTGAAGGCTGTGGAAAAAGCTGTGCAGATCCTGAACCCGTGCCTTGCGGCGGTAAGGTGTACTAGTGCCAACAAAGTAGCGCATGTTAAAAAGCCTGCTTTTGTTGCAACCATGGCATGCCTCCTGCGGTGGCCGGACCGTGATATGGCCCGCCAACTTGTCCAGGGGTTCGCTATTGTTGGGTCCCTTCCGCCGTCTGGGGTGTTCCGAGGTATCCAACAAGCTGATAAACTCCCTTTGGCTGATTGGCTGGGTCCATCCGCCGAAGAGGAGGTACAGCGGTTGATCCGTAGCCGACCCCCCCCTGCACGCCCCGGAAATTTTGGCCGTTACTCAAGATGAGATCATTAAGGGTTTTTGCAGCCCACTACGAACTATGCAGGAAATGAATGATCAATTTGGCGTTGGCGGCTGGCGCGCAGTGGAGCGTTTTCTTATTATTCAGCCTGATGGAAAACAGAGGGTCATTGATAATGCCCGCAAGAGTGGCCATAACATGCATACCTCCATGCAGGAGACCATTTCGACCGTTAACGTTGATTTTGTTGCCTCCGTTGCTCGCATGGTCAATACCACCTTGGAGACCCTTTGGTCCGACCCTCCCGATTGGCTAGACTTGAGATTGGGCACAGATGATTTGCCTGATGCCTATCGAGGCTTGCCAGTCCAAGACGACCATTTGCGGTTCTCCAATGTGGTCATTTTCGTCCCTGACGAAGGCTGGCGGTTTACCACCATGTACGGGCTGGCTTACGGACTAGAGAGTGCAGTTGTCAGCTTCAACCGATTTCCCCAGTTGGGTATCGCGATTGCCAGACGCTGTACCCTGTCTCTTTGTGCTGCTTACTTTGATGATGAACTTGCGGTTGATTTTGTTCACCATGCGGATGTCTCGCAGCGCGGACTCCAGCTTGTTTTTCAACTTATGGGAGCGCCACCGCAAGCGTCCAAATCATTTGCCCCTGGGCGGAACCGTCACTACCTTGGTACATCAGTACATGTTGGAGATTTTGTTTCTTTGGGATCGATTCGGTTCCAACCCAAGTTCACCACCCAGAGAAAGGTATTAGCTAAACTTCACCTTGCTCTAGCTACCAACAATCTGTCTCCAGACGACGCTGGCAAGCTCAGAGGTGACCTCAACTGGATGTTTAGCATGTGTGCAGGCCAAGCAGGTAGGATCGCTGGACCTACGCTTACTGCTTTACAGCATGCTGACTCCCCTAGTCTCTCCCCTGAGGATAGTGTTACCCTCCGGCTTTTGGTCGCGTTGGTCACTTGCCCAGGGCCTCGAGATGTTGCTGTCAGGGCGTCCCCGCGCCAACCAATCCTGGTTTACTCGGATGCGTCCTTCGAACATGAGGTCCTTCGAGTTGGCTGGGTTATCTTTGGCCAGTCCCCTCGCCCACAAGGGGTGACCTGTGTTGTCCCCCAGGCGGTGATTCAGTCCTGGACTGCCCGCACGCAACAAATTTATCCAGGTGAAACTCTTTGTGGACTTTTAGTACCTTGGTTCCATGGAGCCACCTTGCGACACCAGGATATCTTGTGGTTTATCGATAATGAAGCAGCTGTGGCTTCACTTATCCGTGGCTCCAGCTCCCAGATCGATGTCCATACCCTGGTTCAGGTGGCCCATTTCTTATTTCAACGATTTCAAATTCGTGTTTGGATCGAGTGGATATGACTCTGAGAGTAACCCCTCTGATGGCCTTTCACGAGACGGAGTTTGTGATTCTTGGACAAGATCACAACCCTGGGATGTGTCAGAGGTTTGCTACCCGGAACCCCTCCGGTCCGTGTGTCACCCTGCACACCTTTCCCGCTTTTTAGAGTACATGGACAGTGGGTGATGCGAATACAGTGGGTGGTATGTTAAGTTCATCTATGATGACTTTCCAAGCTGGTCCGT